AACTGTCAAAATAATGTCAAAACAACAAAATTGTCCCGGTAAGAAGGTAAGCGGAATGAAATTTTCTCAAATAAACACAAGAGAAATCATCCTGCTTACCTACCTTACCGGGCTGTCTTGCTAAGCGGGCCAGCCCGGCTTCCATACAAACAGGTCCTAACAGTCTCTGTCAGGCAATTACAATGTTCTAACGTTCAAACTCTAAAGTATTATAAACAAGAAGAACAGACCACTTATTGCAAGTTGCTGGTATTAAGTCATATCAACATGTGATCTCGACAATATACAGTGTATAAACTAAAGTAATTCAGCTTCTACACATGAAGAAACTTTAAACACTATCCTTACACTTTATCAATTCATTGAAGTTTGTACTTAAAAGACATTTTATTTGTAGTATTAAATCATAAGACATATTCTATTTGTAGTATAAAGTCACATCAGGATTTTATAATCTAGCGTCTTTGGACCCAAGGGATCTAGAGTTCTATCTTGTTAAAACCTATCCAAGGAAAAACAAGAAAGGGATATTGAAGTAATGGTGTTCTTGAGCCAAATAAATTCGAATATCCACAAGTATAAAAGCAGAACTCCGTATATACCGGTGTCAAGCGAAATACCTGACCTCTGCGAAATTCCTGACCAAGCGTGACGGCTCATGTATTTCGCGCGTGTAGGCGGGAAATACATGACGCTTGCGAAACACCTGACTCGATGAAAACCTCAATCAAAACCACTTTTCTTGGCTTACATCTCGGTTTATATCGTGTTTAATGCTATAATAATGTATTGTATCGAATACCGAAGCTAGAATCAATTTGATATTTCTGATATTACTGAACAATCGGGAATATATGTTTTTTATCGATTATACTTTATATAGACTATAGTCAATAAACAATCTGCGACTTCACGGGAAATGAATAATAAATAAATTGAATTAATATATTTTGCATATAGTCTATAGAATATATTTACAAAGAAAAAGTTGATTATTATACTAGTATAACGCGTTTTACGCGTGTTAGGCCTACCTATGTAGGTATCTTTGGATATCATGTTGGACTTTATTGTAAGGTATGACTCTAGTTTTAAGCTGCGTTTTTATAAGGAAAAGTTTAAATATTTTTAAATCAGTTTTGACTGTCCAGTAAATTATTTGAACTACAAATGCACAATGTCAATGACATTGAATCATTCATACAACCATAAATCATAATATGGAGATATTTCAACATATGCACAATATACGCACAGTATACGCACCACCAACTAGTTAAATTAGATAGAAACGACTCAACGAGTTATAGGCCGTGGGCTGTTATGCGAAAAAGTGCCTAGAAAAGCAATTTCGTGGCACCCTCCTGGGAAATAGATTTTCTGTGGTTCACTGATTAATAGAACCATAGATGCTTAATACAAGACCGCGAAATACACGACGTTTGCTAAATACAATCGGTCGAAACGATTTTTAAGTCCATATGCGATGTTAATACCACAAATGTTTCTAATATAGACATCGCCAAATCTAAACGGCCAACTCGGCAACTCACGAACTCATTGTTGCTGTTTGCTACTGAAATCGTGACAATTGAGAAGGTCAAACCTAACCGTGGTCAAACGCGAAACAAATTTTGGTGCTTATAGTAATGCTTTATAAATACACGTGTTGTCTGTTGAGTTGCGAAATTTATGAGCCAAAGTCATTCATGCACATCGTCTGCGCATGGGCAGTTCTACAATAGTCAGATATTTCGCAAGTCAGGAATTTCGCGTCACACCGGAGACAAAATGGCATCATAGCGAACACATTTTAATGATGCTCAAATTTATATTCAGTGCGCTATATTTTTAAAAATATGACTCTGTTTGCTTTCTAAATACAACAAAATTACTGCTTTACCTTCTGTTCAAATAGTTCCACAGATAAATCGAAGTCACAATTCGTACTACTTGAAAAAAAGCTGTTTTTACTGTAGAAATGACAACTTCCCAATATAATTTTCTATTGTCAACACTGCATTACACTTGTTTAGCTCGCGCATGCGCAGTATAAAAGATGGGACATGTTTCCGCTTGAGTAAGACTTCTGGTCCTATTATCTCTTCTGTGACAACAGGCCCAAGGCTGTTTGTGCAATATATCCATGCAAGATGAAGTACTAACCTAATTTTACAAACTTGAATGCTGGCCAAGGTGTTTGCGGCGCGCAAGAAAACGAGATTGCGTCATTCAGAGGGAGACGAAATCACGAACGTTTTTGATATTTAAAAAAAGGTATGTTTTGTATTAAATTACTCGATTTTAGAAGTCTAGTTGGTTTAGGTTGTATATTTCTGATCCTTAATAAGCTTAATTTGCTTCGGCTTTTCCGTTGCAATTTCTGACTAGGGGCCATTCCAAAAAAAATGGACGAGCTCGGTAAAATTTGAGTGCCCAAGAAAGAAAGATCAAAGTGCCGAAGCACACACCCCTCAGAAATTGGTAAATTTTTGCCTTACCACTCAGAAAAAAAACACTAAGATCAAAGTAGATCAAAGTAAACTCCGACCCCCCACCCCGGGATATAGGTGGGGATTGGCTTTGAATACCGTACCAAAACAGACAAATGCCTCACAATATGGGACAAAATTTTCTAACAAAAGGCAAAAAATGCCCCACCCCCGGGGAAAATTGTAAGTTGTGTGAGCGAATTTATCTCCTGCATAATACAACCCTCGAAATTCAACTATTTTTGCCTTGGCAAATAATTGCCGAAGTCTTTTGATAATTTTTGAGTTTGCCTCGGCAATTTTTTTGCCGAGGCACGCAATGAAATCACATTAAATTCCTTCGGCAATTACTTCGGCACCCTTCGGCATTCACGTCGGCAGTTCCTGATTCAAAATGTTTTTAAAAAGTTAGTGGTACAACAACAACAAATTGTATGAAAGAATAAACTTGACGGTAATCACGCGACAGTCTAAAAGATGAAACAAAGTTTCTCGACGTGCCGTCTTTAAACCATCAAGATTGTTCTTTATTTCAGACAAAGCCGACGCTGAAAAGCTGAAATTTAGATATTTTGTAAAGTAGCTATGAATGAAATCTTCGGCTGTTGTTCACCCAACATCGATTACAACAATTCAAACAAAGAAGTGATATAAAAAAAGAACACTGTAGTTTGTAAGTTTAACAACAAAAAAAAAAACGAACAGACGCTGTAGTTTGTAATTTAAGGTACAACGGGTGGAATTGCCTCGGCATTTATTTGCCGAGGCAAACTACAGTGTTGTAACGAGTCACCTATAGGTCGAGTCACGAGTCGAGTCGAGTCACTCAAAGGTCGAGTCACGAGTCGAGTCGAGTCATTTCAGTTTTTGATCGAGTCGAGTCGAGTCGAGTCAGTGGCTTCACTCGAGTCGAGTCGAGTCAAGCGGCTTCACTCGAGTCAAGTCGAGTCACTGATTTAAGTCGAGTCGAGTCAATTTCTAGACTTGACTTGAGCTTGACCTAGCTTGCAGTAGGAAATTAATAATCAAATTTGCGTTTTAAACTAATTACTTTAGTCATTTAATAACAGTATCTGGGTAGCTATAGGCTGTGCCAATATCACAGTTCTAGTCAATATTAAGTAAAACCACATGAGATGTCTCATCATGCCTGCTGATCGAGTGTACGTACATACAACTAGCAAAACTTGCAACTGGAGTCAGAATTAACAAAGAATAGACTTTAATTAACAACGCTTTGTAAGTTAATTTGAAATTATATAGCCCTTCATAAATACCAAAAATGAAAATAGCCTGTCAGAATTAGTATATAAGTACAAAAAAATTTAAGACTCAATTTTAAAAACTGTGGCACTAGCGTTGTTTCTAAAAACAGAAATGTAATATAGGTATGCCCATCAGCAATATACTCTATGCAAATCCCATATATTTTCTGATAAAGTTTCGAAGTTCTCATTGTTCACAGGGCTCATTGTTCTTCCCAAGCAATACAATCATAATAATTGTGATGAATTTATTCTGCACAAGTTGTAGCTTTGTTGACTCGAGTCATTTAAGGCAAAATCAGCAAGTCGAGTCCGAGTCGAGTCATTTGGGATTGTTGACTCGAGTCGAGTCGAGTCATTTTTCGTATTGGACTCGAGTCGAGTCGAGTCGCTGAAAATAGCGACTCGAGTTGACTCGAGTCAGAGTCAATGACTCGACTCGTTACAACACTGGCAAACTATGAAAAATCGTAACTTGCCTCGGCATTTGCGTCGGCAATTGCCGAGTGCCGAGGCGAATTTCGAGGGTTGTAATATCTCCTCAACAATCTCCGGGCCGCCGCATAAATCGTCCACATTTTAAAATATTAATATTTTGTTCCGAAACTCAAAAGAACAATAAAAACATATTTATATAAACAAACAAATGTCGAGCTTTCCACAACAATAGATTCCATGGATGGATGGACATATTAACCGGTATTAACATAGATTAAAAAGAAATTAAATTAATAATATATTTATAAAATTCCTCTCGATTTCACTTCCTTGCGAGCACGCCATCTTGACCTTTGTCACATGGTATAAAATGGTAGAACCAGGGGATTCCATTGGACAAAATGGTACAAAATAGTCCAAAATGGCCGCAGACAATCCCCTAACAATCCCCATTATCTTCCCGGCGTAATTCGGCAGAATGACAAAACCAACAAATTCCCGACATGGTTGGGACAGAATTTGATGACAAAAAGCCACTAAATCCCCACCAAGTCCCCTCTTTGTCCTGGGTGGGAGGTCGGAGTTTACTTTGACTGGTGCATAAACATCCCCCCCCCCCGGCAGCCCCAAGGCATTTGACACCTTGCTCTATCCCCAGAGTGGATTCCGAACTGCTGCTAGGGTAGGGCATTTGACACTGAGTCACAAGACATAGGGCATTTGACCTTTTAATACACCAGATTGCATGGGGTCTGAGACATTATAAATTTATTATTTATATTGTGCAAATATCCATATTTATATTATCAAATGCACATTAGACCCTAAATAAATTAAATTACAATGTTAAAGTGGAAGTCAAGTCCGTATGTAACAAACGGTTTGTTTACATTTTGAACTGCTGTATTTTTGACTCACGGAGTCTTTGTGGTTTACTTGAGTGGGGGCAGTTAAACAATGGGAAATGACCAGCTTGCTTTGCGCGCAGTGTTTGCCTGCGAACGGGTCTTTTGGAACCGAAAATTGGGCTGGAGCACGCTTCACGTTCTTTTCAACTTTTGACTTTTTGACAAGCGTATGTTAAATTAAAAGGTGAGTGTTTCGTTTTTGTTTAGTTGACTTAATTGTTATCTGTTTTTCTACTTCACCCAACAGATCTGCTGTTAACACACTGATCTACCTTTTAGCTGAAATATTAACAATATTTTGTTCAATATATATACAAGTGTTGACATTTTCTGGTGCCTTTCGAGCGCCTCTGTCAGCTGTGTTTCAACACCGTTTCAACACTGTTTCCATAGTTTCTATCGATTGAAAGAGTTTTTTGTTTACCAAATTTAATCATGTTATTTAAATAATTCATGTTTTAGCTGTCACGGAATACAAAGGACATATTTGTCTTACTTGA